GCATTAAAGGCTCCCAAGAGTCATCAAGATCTTGGTTTAGATGGAGGGGACTTGCAGAAGGAGTTTGGAAACTGATAAAGACTTTTTCGAGTTTTCAGTGGGCCTGTTTCCCTTTTTGAAACCTCGTGACAGGTTTGCCTTTATTTTTATTTATTGCTGTTCCCAGCCAGATTTAGTGTGACAGCTAATCCTGTTTGGGACTGGAGTTTGTAGTCTGTTCCTCCCAAAGCATCTCAGTGCAACATGGAGAATACATGACCACCACCTTCCATTCCCATACTTGATTTTTGTCCCAATGAAAAGACCTGAGTGAACGTGGTACAATCCAGGAGACCAGGGTTCAAATCTGCCTTTAGTCATGTAAACCCATAGGTGATTTTGGGCAGCCTCAGAGGAAGGCAGTGACAGTCTTTCCCTGAATGATAACTCTCTCCAAGAAAACTCTATGATGGGGTAGCCAAAGGGATTGCACAGACTTGTCTAGCTTTTTGGTTGGTTTGATCTTACCTCTTTGGCTGGCTTGTTAATGATATTGCATGGGTTTTTCTACCTTATTCGTTGACTTGAATAGTGCACAGATTTTTTTACTTTTTCAGTTGGCTCTATAAAGTCCTGCCACAGATTTTTCTAGCTTTTGGATTGGCTTAATAAACATGTTGCCACATTATGGAATTTAGAGCTTAGAAGAGCTATTTTTGTTGAAATACTCATGTGTTTCCTCGTGAAATTCCCAGCTAGATAGCCCAACAAAAAGTCATGTTCCCAAGTTAGGCATGGATGTGGTTAGAGAACAACCTATGGAGCTTTCTGGCAATAGGAATTGAGGAAGGTCAGGAACAAATGAACATAACTAGATTCCAGCAGGACAAAAGTTGCTAATGTTTGTTGGTCACTGGTCTTCCTCTTTGGAAAAAAAAATAGCAATATCATGTACATTTCTATACCGCTTCATAGTGAACTCGGCACTCTCTAAGCAGTTTACAATCTGTAAGCCAATTGCAGTAGGAGATGACCTTATTTCAGCCTCCAGATGGTGCTCCGACTACTATATTACCGACCTACAAAAGGATGGAAGGCTGAGTCAACCTTGGAGCCCTGGGATCAAACTCACAACCTTGTGGTTGCAATACTTGCATTTAACCACTGTGCCACCAGGGCAGTGATAACAACAAAAACCCTGTTTTCTTGGAGGAGCAAAATCCTTTTTTGGCCCATGTCTTCCTTCTCAGTTACACCTGTTGTTTTGTTGCCTTGGCGTTTCAGAGTCTTAAAATGTGAAAGCCTTGCCTTCACACTCTGCTCTCTCCTTCTTGCTCCATCACTCCCTCCATCCTTGGTTTTCCACTGCTGTGCTTTTTCTAAATGGGGATCTGTTATCTCAAAGCAAAAGAATGCAGCTAACCAGTGTTGTTTGGGATCCTCTGAAGCCGCTACGCAGGGAAACGCCACATTCTTCCAGCCGGCCTGTGGTGTGCCAGCGCATTCCAATGCCCTGAGGTGGAAGGGAATAAGTGGTCAGGAAAACTGCTGCGATTTGGACACCAGGGTGGAGAAGAAAGGGGCTGTGATTTTTTAAAAAATACCCGTAATTATATTCTTTCCCAGCAAGAGAGCTTCAGGACCATTTTTAGCCTGTTACGAATGCTGCGATTCTCCTCCCGTCTATTTTAATCAGACTATTATCTTGTTGACCTCATTTCCACCCCCCTCTTCTTTTAATCATGTTGTTAGAAAGATCTTTTTAAAAGCTTTTATAAGAAAATGGGAGTGGAGGGGAAGCAGTGAGCAAACATGATTATGTCCAGTTGTTTCCTTCATCATTCATGGTGGGTTTCAGGCACTCAAAAACTCTAGAAGGATCATCTGGTTCAACCCACTGCCATGCAGGAATACACAACCAAACATTCCCAAGACATTGTTGTATTTTATTGTATGTATGTTTTAATTTATAATTGATTTAATATTTTTTAAGGGGGGGGAATTAGATTTTACAGTTGTATGTATATTTTTATTCTTGTTAGCTGCCCCAGTTGATCTCAAAGGGGCAAGATATAAAAATAAACTTTATTATATTATTATTATGGTCACAGAAACTCTGTTTAAAGACCTCCAATGGGGGTGAATACACCACCTTTCAAGGGAGTCCATTCCACACTTGTTTCATCATGATGTTCTTCCTAATGCTTAGTTGGAATATTTTTTCTTGTTGCTTGAATACATATTTCTTTGGGTCCTCTGGAGTATCAGAAAACTAGCTTGCTTCATGTTGTACATGACAGCCCTTCAGAAATTTAAAAAGGATTATTCTATCACCCTCTCAGTATGCACTGAGAGTGTATTGAGAACTTGCAGTCCATTGCAGTCCATCAAATACCTAGGAGGGTCAAAATTTCTTAACTTGGAATCATAGAATTAAAGAGTAGAAAATAATCTAAATTGCCCTCTAATCCAACCCTCGTCGTGCAGACAACCACATTTAAAGCACCCCAAAAAGATGACGATTCAAAGTAAGTTGGTGCTGAAAAGGTGATGATGTTGGACTATGAACTGCCAGGATTGATAGATTCCCATGCATTATAATTTTATTTCAGTTTCCTAAGTTTAACAGATTTAGCGTGAGGAGCTGAATTACAAAGATAAAGACAGAATTCAAAGATACAGCCATG